ATATATATATATAATCTCACAATAGAGAGCAGATGAATTATTAAATGATGGGAAGGAAATATATAACTCAAGTAGCAGAGCGAAACGATACAAGTTCATACCTGAGAAATAGAAGTGCCTTATACATATATAATGCGCTTCAGGAGTTACCATTATATATGGAATTAAAAATTGTACGATGAAAATTATACATAAGCATCTATCCCAGATTTTGCACCGATCAAATTGATTGACTACTTGACATTGTAATTGAATATTATATATCTCACCAATTAAATTATATGGTTTGGTTATCAGATAAGTACATTATATTCAACTTGTAAAATATATAATAATCATCACAATTTAAGTTATATACGCAACCATTTTTTTTATTTTCTGGTCCAAATGATGCCTCTTAGCGAACATGATAACGTACTGAAAAGCATCGTGATTGATGCTTACTTGTTCAGAGAGGAAAATAAAGAAAATATTTGATTCCTCCTATGTTATATATATGTATATATCATCAGAGAGAGGGGGAGAGATCATATCAGTTTTCTGTGGGACTTGCATGTGTGGCCGCATCAGTTTGCATAGAGAGCGGGGAGAAAATTACAAAACTAATAATTGTTTTTTGTTTTTTCTTCACACTAACGTAATTGCAAACCAAATTTTCTCCGTACTAGAAACTTCTGATTTACAAGTCTCCTTCGTGTGGAATCAAATTTAGGACCATATTGATGTTTGATTATTGAATTGGTCTGTCTCAAAAATTTAACGAAGAACCCAGGTGCTCTCCACGAGTGGGCGTAGCTGGTAAAGTAGCTGAAGAGGAAAATATAAAATATAAAATATATATATGGCAGGTTATGCGGGCTATCCTGCAGGTTAGATGGTATGGACTGTCTTAACCTGTATTTTGTTGGGCTGGAAAAAAGCCAACCTTAACCCGCCTCTTTACGGGAGGTTGGCAGGCTCATCTGCAAGTCACAGCCCATATTACTGACTCTAGCATATTTGATTTGTTTCGGGTAAAAAGACACAAGTTTGAATCCTACTTGTTAAAAAAGACGATCTTGGGGAGGATTCTACTTGTTCTGTTTCGGCTGAGAGATATCTTAGTTTCTAACCAAAAAAATTTAACGAAATGAAATACATGACTTAGATGAATCAAATATAGTTTAAAAGATCAATATATATGTATATATATAGTTGAAAAGATTACAAGTATTTGTTAGAGTTGTCCAGCTCATCTACAATATTTTAAAATCGATCCAATCATCCACTTGAAAATTTATTTTAGAACAGGTATCGTCACGCAATATTTTACTATCCTTTAGTTTCATAATCATATTATTTATCATAAGGACACCGATGGTTAAAGATCTAAAGCTTACACAACTCCAGAAAGTTTAGTTAAGATTACTCAAATGCATCGATAATACCAGCGTTTAAAAAACACGACATAAGAATAATTATGCTTAACTCATTGTTAATACCATGTTTAATTTGTGATTACATTCACATCGGTCAGATATGTTTTTGACTTGAGGGGTTTGGGACAAATCTATACTTTTATAAAATAAAATGTTTATTTTTCGTACGGCACATTGTCGGTTGTACGGCATTGTCGTTTCGATTTCTAAAAGGAACATTAATATGCAACTCTTTATAATTTAATGAAATTTTTAATTAAATTCTTGTCGTTTTTTATTGGGTCCTTATAATTTTCTTAACCATATAATCCTCCAGTCCTATATACTTCCAATTGTCTATTTAGGACCGGAGGAGTATTAGTTTATATACTCGTAATTTTTTAATTTGTAAGATAAACAAAATCAGCGGCTAATAATGTATCTCTTAGTTAACATACACACGGATTAATTTTATTACATGAACATAACTAAAATCAAAATCAACCAAATTAGAAATTATGTACAGACGCAAGTAGACAATTGGAAGTATAATAATTTTTTATTAGCATGTTGATATAAATAAATTTATTTCATTATTTTATTTTCAAATATATGTTATCAACATAGAATGAGCTAATCCCTTATAACACAGCAAACTATTATTTGAATTCTTATTAAGAGATGTATAGGGGTGTTCAAGGCCGGCCTGTCTCGGTTGGACCCGTTCCGGTCCCGGTCTTATTGGGACGGGACGGATCCGTCCGAAATATTTCGGGACAGGACAAACCGGGACGGGACAAGAAAGGGGACCGGGACGGGACGGGACACGGGCAGGGTCGTCCCGTCCCGGTTCCTTTTTTTTTTTAATTTTTTTAATTTTTTATCCTATTTATATAATATCATTTTTTTCACATTTTTTTAAGATTTGACACTATTGTATGTAACTATGGAAATATTTATTTAGAGTTTTATATTTGTTAATGATTTGGGATCATTGATGATTAGAATTTTTAACAAGTTTTTATTGTGTTAAAAGCTTTTGTTTAAAGTTTTTAATGACTATTATATGTAATATTTTGAGCTTTTGTTTGAGAGTGCCCAAACAAATAAAAAAGAAAATAAAAAGATGTTTTTATAAGGTTTAAGTCCAAAAAAATATAATTAAAAAAATCAGATTTTTTTAAAAAATTAAAAAAAAATTTAAAAAAATAAATTTGGGACGTCCCGGTCCCGTCCGACCGGGACCGGGACAACCCCGGGATGGACCGGGACTCGGGACAGATTTTCTGTCCCGTTACTGTTCATCGGGACGGAACCGGGACGGGCCTGTCCCGGTCCCGATCCGTCCCATGAACAGCCCTAGATGTATCTACATTTAATACGATAATATCTTAAATAAAATTATTTCTAATTAGAGGATATCTATACTTAGTAAAAAAATTATGTGCATAGAACTAAAGTCTATAATTGAAAAAAAAAAGAATCTATATAAAAAAAAGTACAAAAATCTAATTAAAAATTAGATAAAACTTTAAAGTCTGACAAATTAATTTCTCCTCTTTTTAATATAAAATATTTCCTGTTGTCCAACAAATGTTGGGTGGGAGATGACAGGATGCACATATATTTCTGACTTCTTCCGATCTGATCGTGTGTGCGAATCTGTCACGTAATTAGTGTTCACATCGATGATATTGAAATTGGTGATCTAAGGACTTTTTTTTAAAAACAAATTGGAGATAAAATATAGTAGTATAAGGAGACGACGGCACATTTGATAACTTATCGGCTTCTACTTCTTTTTAAATTGACAACTCAACAATTTGGGAGTCCTAAAATTTTCTCACTCTTAAAAGTCAGCGCTTGATCCCATGTTCTCTTTGTTTTTCCTTTCTTTTTTCTTGGCCGTCCACTCAATCCCGCGTTCGCCACCTTATGGTTTTGCATTTTGATGAAAAATTGGAGTTTGGTCAAATAAGTCGATATAATTCGTGATGGGCTAATTTTTTTTATAAGGCATTCAAAATTCAGACACAAGTGGATAATATAATTCTGGCATTTAAAAAAATGAGCAATCAAATTCATCCAATTATTGGCAGGTAATTAAGCTAGTACATTACAAAAATTAGTTAAATTAGTTATTTATAATAAATATATGTTATTTTTTAAAAAATATCCTTGCTAATCAAGTGTATTAGTTAGAACTATTATTATTACAATGACTATTTGAAAAAAAAATATGAGAGAAATGGGATTAGAATCTTATATTTAGAATTAAAATAAAAGTCAAACGAGCTTTTATATTAAGGAGGTAGTATTTTACTTATGAAATATACACAGCCGAATTTTTTTTTTTTAAAAAAAAAGGCATTGTTCTCTTAAGATAAATTTCACCCGCATAAAATCCCAAAGAGAAGCACCTCATGTCATAAATCCCCATTACTTGTTGGGAGTTTGTAACTCTACTGGGAACACATTCCCAGGTCAAAATACTAGAAACAGATTTCATGCTCATTATTTTAATGAATTTAGACCATTCAAATCAATTTTGAATAGTTCTGAACTTCTGATTCAATTTTATTTTTTTAATCTTTTAAATAATTTTTTTATTTTAATAGATATAAAATTTAAAATAATGATAATCTTATAACTATGGTGTTGATAAAAAAACTAAACTAAACTATTCCATGATTGTAATTTTTATCCTGGATGCAATGAAATTAACACACAATGGAATACCAAGACAACTTATTGTTGGGCACGTTCATGACTTCTGGGAAATGTTGATCTTAGTTAATTACGGGAGATTGTCGATTGTACGTGTTGTAGTTTTGTTATTATTAAATACTCTAAAAAAATATTCCGGATTTTCAAGCATATATGTTACCGTTGGATGATGCGAACACGGCGTTGTCGTTTAGTTGCAAATTTTATTATTGAAATTAGGTCTAATATTTCAAATTTTTATTCAAATCAGTTTATTTACAAATACTAATCTTTTTCTATTGTCATAAGTCATAATATCTCAAATCACTTCGTTTAAAAAAATAAATGATGTAAAAATAAATGAAGTTATATATATATATATATATATATATATATGCAATGAACAAAATCCCAATTTTCTTTTCCGGTCAAAGAATGAACCTAATTATATTCCCTTAATTCATAATTATTATTTTGAAAAGATAACGCGCTGAGGGATCTGTCCAAGGGTTAATATTATTTATGAAAAAACATAAACAATTTTAATTAAGATGAAAGGCCAGAAAACTAATTAAAGAGCATAGGGGGATTAACTGATATATCTTATAAAAATAAAATAACCCGGGACCAACGGGCGTAGGTTCTAGTAGAAGGGACTATGACATAATCAGATAATCAATCATATTTTTTTATAAAAAAAAAAACTCCCACGAACAGATTTTGCGTGAGAATATATGTTGTTTAATTAATGTTAATTGATATTATTTTCTCATATATATAATCATGTTGGTAATTTATTTGCTATTGCCAATTGAGCTTCCCTTCACGTTATATTTATTCCTCTGATCTCCTGTAAAGTCTTTTCAGTTTAATCTTTGTTTTCTAGCCGATAACTTATTGAGTGCCATATAACATCAATATATATAAAAAACACAAAATATACAGATGAGCCTGTTCACAAATTGTGAAAATTGGCTATGCATGCCATATTTACATACATGCAGAAGGTGACCTCTTTAATTATTTCCATCACTGTCCTCTGACTCTGGAAATATATAGCTAAAGTCACCATTATTGTCTTCTCATAATAACCATGTTTTCCTGGCACAGACCTTTGTGATCTCTACGAATCCGTTTCAATTATAATTTCATCAGGATAGACTTGCAACCCCTTCATTCGCATACAAAAAAACGAAAAGATAATTAGAGATGTAATTAATTAATTTAGTTTTGATCTTATGAGAAAATTAATTAGATTGTGCAATATACCTGTGCACGTGCATGTCTTTCATCTCTGAAGCTAATAGCTTTGACCTTCAAGTTTAAGTCTCTGGGTACGTGTGCACGTGCATGTCTTTCCTCTCTGAAACTAATAGCTTTCACTTTTAACTCTCCTCTCCCTGTTAGGGCCTCGTTTAATATCTCATCATCGTCGTCATCATCTTCTTCTTCTTCATCCATTTCCCTTCTTTCCATGCTTGGTGATTTCATATCCTTTTAACAAACCCGGAGAAATGAATTAGAAAAAAGGGTTTAATTTATGGAGAAGATAAGCAAGTTAGAAATGATTTGAGTTAATTTAGTTACCTGGTGGAGATTGAGACGAGAAGAGTGACGGAAGGAAAGCCTTGAAGTAGTGCCTGCAATTTCTTCATACTCAGCAGCATCAAGTTCCTTCAAATGCTGAGGATTGAAGAGCTTTGGTAACAGATATTGCCTTATTATGATGAGAAAGTACAAGGGCAGAGGAAACAACATTCCTGCCATGGGAATCCAAGTCACTCCGAAACATATCAACAGATAAACAGATTGGAACAGTGTGAAGAACAGTATGGCTCTGAATGGTACTGTCTCTACAAATGAAGCATGGTCCCCCTCCAACACCCTATCATTTCAAACCAGAAAATGAGGTCAGTTAATTAATGCAGAGATGAGAATTATTGATTTAGTTTCTGGTTTTATTATTATAATTGGACCTACTTGTATCGTCTGTTGGGGGATATGAGGATATAAAGTATTCTTTCCCAGAATTGATTTCCTTGAAGACTATCAATGGCCATGTAAGCGAAGTAACCCCACATAACTGAAGTGGGTATCTTCTTTAAAAGAGGTAAAGCAAATACAGATGCTCCAACAAGTATTGCCTGTAACAGATTGCTCACTCTTTGCTCTTTCACTCTTATGGGCAGATGTTCATCAATATGTGTCTCAGGGTTAAATTTACTATCCGATTTCTCTTCCCCTTTTAGGATTGCTTCCTTTAAGTCCTCTAGTTCTTTAACCACTGAAGTCTGCAAAATAAATAAAGCAGCAGCCTTGTTCAGCATGGGGATCGAAGAGATGACTTTAAATACTGGGATGAAGCTTCATAAGTGTGACTTGACTTACAATTGGGCTTTTATCTATTTCTATGAACACTGCTTGCATATTTCCATAGATCTCAGAGTTGCTTGCTTTGCCCCTTATGCTTTCTTTGGCACTCTCCACCATCTTCCTCCGAATCAACTGTATCCACGAATCAAGCTGTATCCACAGATTTACCCAATCATTTAAACAAAGCATGTATAATCACTAACTCCTGATCAAGTTGTGTAATATATTGACAGAAAAATTCAGATCTCATTCACGGACCTGTTTCTTGAGAACAGCAAGGCTTTTAGTGTGCATGGGGGACTGAGGAAGAAGTGCACTGGAAGGTGGCAAACCAATCAACCCACAAAGCAAAGTCTGAAAATTTCTTCATGGGATTAGTGATCAGATAGTTTCACAATCACACCAGAACACAATGAGAGAAAGATATATAGTGAAATACCAGGAATCCTAGCAACAAAAAGTCATAGTGATGAGCAGAAGGTTTCTTCAGGTTGAATTCCTTCTGTTCTGCTAACTGAGAAGCAACACTATGATCGAAGAAGTAAAGACCCGCAATCATCAGTGCAGGAATAATAGCAGCAAAAATATATGCAGGTGGGACCTTCACCATATCCTGCACCAAACAGAAAATTATATTGACGTTTAAAATATCATGTTGTATGTGTACATCTTTATTTCAGTATCATCGTTATTTTGAGGGCAATATAGATTATTACTTGGACGACTTTCCAATGATGTAAAGAAGTAGATTCCCAAGCAAGAGGAGCAATGAGCCTTCTAGGAACTCCAGAGGGAAGTTTGTTACTTGGTACTGTGAAAGACAAGGCTGTCCACAGTACCACCATTAGCGGAACCCCGTAGTCTGCAAAGAAACTTCTCAATTTCCCTGCGCAAATTATGCAAATTATGTTACATTTCTTTACTGATCTTCTTCTTCGATAGCTTATTTGCTCATTAGCTTCAATAATTTTACGTGTAATTTGCAGGTGTAGTACAAATTCTTGTTTAATTGAAATATCTGTAAGTCATAGAAACAAATAACTTGATGACAACAAACCTGTGCCGTATAACCATGATCTGGCTTTCCTGATCTTGAGAGTGGAAAAGAGAAGGCCAAAAGAGAATATAATTCCCAATAGTCCATTTGCATAAAGCCACTGAAATTTGTTTTTCTCTAATGCTGGGTGCTCGGTCCCGTGTTTAGGAGCCTTAAACTCACTCACCATTCCCTGCGTTATTTTAGACAGATCAGAGGTTCAATTAGCTTCAAAAACACACTCCGTGTTTAGCATGCTAATTAAATATTCTATGTACCAAATTATAGTAACCTTGATAGCCTCTTTAAGGAAGATGACTGTGATCAACATGCTAAAAAGCTCGCTAGCAATCCTGGTGAATCTATGTACAATGCCACCAACATTGAATATTGCGAGAAGAAACAACATCAGAGCCGTCCAAACGCAAGTCCTGAGATGTTCACAAGTCTCATATTAGCTTTTTAACCTTTGAGAAGTTAATCAAGAACTATTGATGTACATGTTATCAAAACTTGCATTGTAACAAAGTTATTTAAGCTTCAAGCCTATACGTCTGGTCTCTAAGATTCCATCTTGAAATTTCTCATTATATATATGCAAGACTTCAAAAGAAATCTACACTCATGGACTCACCAAAAAGATTCAAATCCTCGAGAATTCCTCATACAAAATATTTGAAGTCCTATTTCCTAATACTTTAAGTCTTGACGGATATACCTGGCTAGAACTTAGAACTTTTCCTGAAAAGCATAAACTTAATTAGCCGCTTTCCATGTAGAGTTTTTTCAACGAACCAAACGGTCAAACAGACGGCCGTTTTAACTAAATATCTTCTCAACTAAATTCTCTTATTCATTTTTTTTCTTTTTAAATTAAAAGACTGATCAAATTCTTACTATGGAAGTTGCTTTTGTTCTTACCATGCAGCCCAAGCTAAGAAAAGTTGTCGTCCCAAACCATCTCTTTCTTTAGCAAACTTGTACATGTAAATGTACATGACGATAGTGGGCTCTGCGACTCCTAATATTATTAGGGGTTGGCCTCCAATAACTGAGTGTATGATTCCACATATAGCAGTTGAAGCCAGTGTTTCTACTGGACTCAGGCTTCCATCTTTAAACAAAACCACCAAATATAAGTAAATAAACATCCATTCCAAGACATGCAAGCACACTATGAAAAGGAGGGGAAAAAAAACATTATTTCGTAGGGCTGGACACCAAACATTATAGACAATAATATTGACAGTGTGACACGCATATATGGACAACAGACATTCATAGGTAGAACCTGTGGCTATATCGAGCTGTTCTCCAAAGGCTATAACAGGAAGAGCACAAGCGAAGAAGATATAGGTAGTTGGAGCCAATATCCTATTGTCAGAAAGAGAAAGAACGATTATATAAAGATTTGTGCTTTGACATTTGAACGAAGGCATCATATATGTTTGATATATATGTGGAGCAACAAAATTACCCGATTCCTGAACAGAGACCAGCAATCCAGTCTTCTTTGTAACATTTTTTTCTTCCTCGGAAATCATTAACTACGCCCTTGAAAGGTGTCTTCAAGCTGTCCATTTCTATGGGACAGAATGATAGTATGATGATTCAAGGGGGCTCTCCAAGATTTAAACTTTATTGCATGTGACCGCAATAAGTGGATGGTAGAAGAAGAGAAGAAGTGCCTTCGACTTGAAATCTTCATGTGAGTAGGTCATTATATATATAGACGCAAGGAAACAAGACACATAAGCATTTCCAATTTGTGTATACGTCAAATTGATAGAGTTGACATTGTTATTTGAAGGCTTTCTTAGTGAGATAGATAACTATCCAAAATGATGCGAGTTGGCAAACGTAACAAGTTGTTCCAAGGAATCGTGATTGACGGCTACTTGTTTGAAAAGGGAAATTAAGAATTCAGAAAGGAAAGGAAACGTCTCGTCTCTCAGCCTTACGTTAGCATCAATGCGATAAACAGTGTTTGCTCAAAAAAAAAAAAAAAAGAGAGCAATACGATAGACAATCAAAGGATAACAGCACGTACGTACCCACGCGGTTTTTGAGACCCCTGCACATATTGGCATATGAAAAACGACGAGGGGATGGTGTTGAGCTTTGCTCTTTTACACTGCCTCCGATTTTTGATATAAGAGTCAGATAATTAATTTATAAATATTAAAAAAATTAGTTAAGTTAATTATTTGTAATAAATAGATGTTATTTTTTCTAAAATATCTTTATTAATCAATTATGTGCATTAAAATTATTCCTTGATGTAAACTCCTTAACATGTGCAATTATCATAAGGATTTCCTAAGGGCAAAATAGATAAATATATTATTAGAGACAAACTGGATCAAAGTCTTATATTTAAAGTTAAATTAAATCTTCAGCTGTTCTAGGACCTTAGGTAATATTAACTCAAGTTGATGAGAATTATATCTTCATTTAAACAAGCGATTGAGTACTCGATTTTCAGCTATTGTGTCCGGAAGGGATTTAGCTTTTGTTCTCAATACCTTGAGGGAGATAATCTCTCCTATATCGGCATGGTCTTCTCCTTAGTCCTTATACTCACAAAAGAAACCACTCTAGCTCCCCCATTCTTATTACAAGTATTTATCATCAACAACTTTATATAGATTAAGAGATTGAGTTATTAGTTAATAGTTTTAAACTTTAAAATTATGTTCATTAATTAAAACATACATAGGTACCATATAAAAAATTGAAGAAAACTATAGGAACCTCAAAAATATAATGGTTTTTTCTTTTTTTCAATATGTAATTTTGGGCTTAAAATCATAATTAACTAATATCAAATACCGATTCTATACAATAAGAATATGTGTAATTTGGGTTTAAGTGGATTCATTTATGTCATAAAATATCCCACAGATAGGTAGAGTGGGAAGTTGAAAGGTCATTAGCAAAGAAGGTTGTTGCATATAGAAGATTCGAAAATATGTGAAAAGTCTTTATTACTATTAGCTTTCTTAAGGAGGGGAGAAATGGGATTAGTTAAGTTGTTTTTCCCTGAAAAGTCAACTCTCCCCCAGTATTTAGCATGAATTTCAGGACCATAAGCATATTCTCTTATATATGAATTCTCCATGGCCCTAATATTTTTGGGGAAAAGATATCTTTTTTTTTTCCTGGAAAAAAAATCTCTTAAACTAACAATGCTGTTTTTTCAACAAAATAGTATCATTCAAAAGTAACATATAGTAATTCTTAAGAGATTTATTTTCAAAGAGAAATAAATACTTGATTTTGATGGGTCACATGTAACAAAAAATTATAATTATTTATTAGAGCCCCACTCTTATTATTTAATTACAGCCAGCTCACACACACTACATATTTTAACAAAGGTTTAACCGTACAGATCTGGAACAAGTGAAGAACACAGAACAATTATACTTAACGGTCACTCTCGATGCCAAATGGGTGCGAAAGCCTTGTTTATAAAATATTAAAATATTCTTTTTGATCGAGAAGTGTTTTTCACTTGTGGCCACTTGTGAGGTTTGGCTTTGATTCATATATAATTATGTTTATTTAATTTTCTTTTTAAAAAAACATGATGATGGTTATCAAGTAAACTGTTTAATAACGTACGGTACGTCGTTGGTTGTACGGTGTTATGGTTTTGTTTTTCTAATTATAAATTATTCATTTGATTCTAAATATAAGACATATTTTGTAGTACAAATTATATTATAAAGTAAATCTTATATTTAGAATCGAATGAGTATTAATCATCAATTCTCTTATTTTCAAACTTATGATCTAGCTGGAAAATGATGCCAATAGCCTCTGAGCGTATCCCGTATTCCCGGCAATCTTGAAAGTTGAAAGTTGAAACTTGAAACCCACATGGGAGCCTCATGGGGTAACTAATATTATCACAATATTATATTTGAACTTTCTATTTTTTAAAATCTAAACAGTCAGGTAAGAAAATCAATTAGGCTACAGATCATATCCTGCTCCATTAATATTTTTCCCTCAAAATATCACACTTGAAAATATATAAGAATATTTATCATAAAAAATATCATAAAAATATGTTGCCTTTAATTGCCATTGCCTCAAAACTTCTTTAATGCTTCATCCACGCTAACCTTACTTTGTTTCATTAATCAATATATAATTACTCCCTCCAATTTCTAACATAGAAATTAGTTGAAGGTTGGATTTGGTCATAAATATAATACCTCTATTTATCTTGCCTCTTATATTTATTATTTTTCTGAAATAATCTACTTAACTTATAAACCGATAATCCGATATACTACTCTTTTGGAATCTTAAATATAAGATCTAGTTTGTGAGTGTAATTTATGCTACAAATTAGATTTTATATTTAAGACTGAAAGTAATATAATATAACGTTATCTAGGAGCTTTTGGGATATATTTATTATAATTAATCAATTTATTTGAATTTTTAATTTACCTAAATTAGTTGGATGGTTTTTATATTAATATTAGAAGGGTTAAAAAAATAAAAAATGATGATGATTATACATATAGATCATTGATAATGGTATCTATCATATATTTATACACACACACACAAATATGTTTTTAATGTTGATTGATGTTCCTCATACAAGGAGACTCTGTTGAATTGATCAAACTCATTGGCCAAGTTTGATTTCTCCTTTTACTTCTTCAATGCAGGCTAGAAATATCTTTATATCAGTCTATAAATTACACATTTTATAGTGTTTCAGATGGATGAAAAAAAAAGCATTGAATATAATTGTTCCAAGTTTTTGAGTTCAACAAGTTACAATTAATTCAATTTATTTATTTTTTGTCACATATATTCGTAATCAAGTTCATTTACTATCTCTAATTGTTCCAAGTTTTAATTTCTTTTAACACGTATATCAATGAACTACGAATTAAAATGCTTCTAATCAATAATCTATTTGTTTATTTAATTAGTCTATCTCAAAATCTCACAAAGGAGGTTACAATTGACATGGATGGATCAGATATGACAAAAAATTATAGCAATTTTGTTAGAGTATAATATTTTTAATTTAATCCCATCTAAATCACATACCAATATTTTAGCAATTATTCAGCCGTACAGTTATGAAATAGAGCATGATAAAGAAGCACTCATCGTCACTGTCTTTTAATAATTACTTAATAATATCAAGTGGTTACACACACCTGCAAAAATTTTAAATAATATTGCGCAAAGCAAGAAAAAAAAAATTTTTACGCTTAAAAGTCAACATGTTTGTGTGAGCTTACGTGGATATATATCATGCTTATAATTTTTTTATTTAATCCAATGAAAATCGCTTACCATATTTTAAAAATAATTACTTCAACGGTACACATGGAAATTTCATGGAAAAATCATCGTCATGCAACATCATATTTTGTCGGTCTTTTGATTTGGAAAGATTCGCAGTCTTTTTAATAATTTGTTAATTAACGCATAAACAAATATCTAGATGCTTCACAGATTAGAAAAAAACCTGGAGAAAATTTCAACAATATTAGTTTTTTTGGAAAAAAATTGAGGAATACTTTGAAATTTTGATGGAGACGCAACGAATCTGGACACTATAGTCAGTATATTCGTGAGATGAGGGTGTGGATACACGATTTTTTTTTTCCATATCAGAAGGAATACATGACGTTTTAAAAATGTCTTTTTTTATTCTGGAGTTTGGGTCAAATAAGTTAATTAGTATTTTTCTTAAATGGTTGGCGAATTTTCTAAGGTATTCCAAAAATGAAAATATGTACAGTTATATCATCCCACACCCACTGGGAAACTCCCTTCAGTCCAAAATATATGATACCTTTTAGAAGAAAACCCTGATGTATGAGAGGTAGTCTTCGATGGATTATACATTCTTCTTTGTTTGATAACGAGTCAGCATCCTTTAACTTATGGGTATCAAAAAAGCTGATTTTTTTGTTGCAGACGATCATTTGGAATGATCAAGCAATATTGTCAAATTAAACAAGATTTTGTGCAACTGTTAAGCTGCTTTGTCAGTTTTAGTATAGACTTTATTAAGTCTTTATCTCTTTCTCTTTTCTTTTTTTTAAGTTCTTGTTTTTCTTTAGAATCTACCTTGTAATGACTTTCGTTATCTTTAATTTAGTGGCATTTTGATCTTTTAATTAAAAAATAAAAAATAACCCTGATGTTACTATTTATCCGTGATACATATCGGATGTTGACAAAGCAAGAGATGGGTGGGTGACACAAATAAAAACATTAAAAAAAGGTTTTCAATTTAAGATTAGTTGATGGCTCTTCTTTATTGATTGGCATAAAACCAATTTTGATCAAGAGGAGTATAAAATAAATGAAGCCGCCTTTGAAACCCAAGAGCAACGGAACGTACGGTACGTTTGTCTGGTGTACGGTATGTCGTTTTCTGGTTAAGTGGTTATAAAATACTCTCAGGCATTTCTCAGTCCGATATGATGATGCCAATAGCTCTTATCATTTTCCCCGCATGTTGCTGTCCATCCTCATAGCCATGTGGTGGACTCATTAATTAATTCATCCCCTTCTCCCACTATATTACCCAGCTTAGTTTTTTTACAAAATATTACCTAGCTTAGTTGGTAGGACTTATAATGGGATCTTTAATACTATCT